TCCACACCTAGCATACAAGTCTATCCCATCAGTGTCCGCCTTCGAGCATGCTTTTGTCACTAAGAACTTAAGTCAAGGTCCGATGGACTAAGGACGAGAAAGGAGTTCAGCTGTGTTGGAGGAAGCTCATGGTCTACGTCGCAACAACACATGGGACGACAGCTCCGTGACAACACTGGGTAACTTGAAACACCTAGCCAAGGTGACCGGAGTCTCAGTAAAGATTACTTCATTGCACATACTTTGTGGCATCAAACACTGGGAACAGCCCTTTGATGCACATAAATTCGAGGAGAGAATAGTGTATAGAGGGGACCTAATAAAGAACGAAGCTGATGAAAAGTGCTGTACGCTGATACAGCAACGACACCTACAGCTTTAGCGGCCCTAAACTTGGCCCTCTTTTATGGTCCTGCGAGCACAATGCTATTTCCCTCTCAGACGCCGTGCAGGCGTTCTCGCAAGCTCCAACTGAAGAAGAAACTTGGGTCATCGTTCCTTACGAACTGTGGCTTGAGGAGTGGAAGGCCAAGTACCGAAAGGACGTCAAGCTGGTTGTCCGACTGCTGCGCTCACTCTATGGGCACCCACTTGCCGGAAAGCTATGGCAGGCATTCTTGTCAGACAAGTTGAGACAGATAGGAGGGATAGAGTCATGGAATGAATGAATAAAACTGTACATACTCAAGGGTGCATTTTACGTGGAATCTGCTTTCTCCCCCTCGAGTGAATTCCATGTAGCCCTATATACAATTTCAGCTTGAAGCAAATGTTGCTCGAATGATTTCCTAAGCTACGCCCACGGATCATCGTCTGGTCGAACACACAATTGTCTTAAAGCTTCCTGCCAATGGATGGGAGCCAAGATTTTCGTGAAAGCATTAGCCAGCTGTTCACTGGACTTGCAATACCGGAGCTTCAAGGACGATTCCGATTCCAAAGTTTCGCAGATGCTTGCAATGTTGACTTTGTGCACTCTATTGCAATGTCGTAAGCGTGCTGAGTACTTGTTTTGGATTATCTTTATGACTGCTTCGTTGTCCTGTTCAAGCATTGCGGGGATGCGCTGCTCAAAGAGGTATTCCAGAGTTTCCTGGATGTGTAGTGTTTCTCCATACAAAGCCGCTCCGAAGGCGACAACTTCTACCCCTGGTGTCGATCTTGCCACGCTGCTTTGCTTTCTGCTCTGCCAGAAAACTGGAAAAACGATTCACCGGTCTTGATTCCAAGCATTTTGCCGCTGGTGGATTTTGCTGACCAAGGACAAGACGCGAAATCGGCATCACTATATGCATGGAGGACTGGCATATGACCATCGGAGACACTTCCACAACAACGATATGAGATAGTATTGAGATATGACACAACCCTGTGAAGTGGACGATCATCCCACTTGCTCCATCGAGATACGTTGGATGCCAATCTGCATACAACAAAGGATAGATCTGGACGGCTCAGCCGGCTGAGCCACAGCAACCTCATCAAGGCTTTGGCCGCATCATTTCGTAGTACGCCTGATAGTTCTGCTTCTTGATCGCTCATATTGCTCTCTGATAGGGCAGGTGAAGACACTGCTTTCAGTGATGATTCTGAGGTACACAGATCACGTCATGTCAAGGTGCAGTGTGGACCCCCTTTCATGTCTGTAGAGTTTGTGGGTTCTACCCAAAAGCAATGACCATAATATGTTTCAGTGATAAACACATCTGGATCGAGCCGTACGAGATCTCTTAGTTCCTGCCAGAATTCAACATGTAGATGACTTCGTCCACTTAGTGTCAAGTCGTCCACATATATGTTGAGTAAGAGGGTATGGCCCTTACGACGGAAGAACCAATTGCTTGGATATAGCTCAGTCTTACTAATGTGTACTTTCTCATTTTGCCGTTCCGGCGACTTACCTTTGGTTCAAGAACTGTCAAAAAACAGTATGCCGTGCTAGCGCATGCTGCATCGCATTGTTTGGGGTGCTTGAGGTTGTGGTATCCCAAATAACTATGTAACATATAACATAATAATATAATATAACGTCATATATAATATTTCAATTTAATAAGATATAATACAGTATAATTTAATTTAATACAATATTCAATATATAATATAATATAATATTTATTTTAATTTAATTTAATATATTTTATAATACAATATATCAAAAATGTAATATAATTTTAAATATCATATCAAAAGTATAATTTAATATTATATAGTATAAAGTAATATAAAATATAAAATATCATAGCAAAAATTTAATATAATACAATACAATATAGTAATATAAAATATGAAATATCATATCAAAAATCTAATATCATATAATATAGTATAATATAATATAAAAGGTAATATAATATAATATAATATAATATCAGGTAATATAATCTAATACAAGGTATATAATACAATCGAAGGAAGTTTAGAAGTCAAACTTCCGACAATATGGACAGATGGAAAAGCAGAGGTGGGAAGAGTCAGAGCAGAGAAGAGAAGAAGAAAGAGAAAGTCTCAGAAGAAAGAAGATCCAGGTGCGCGAAAAGGTAGGAAAGTCACGAAATGTGTTTTTCCAATGATTTGTGGCTCCGGAGGGTCGAAAAGTAGGCTCGCTAAAGCGGCGGGTGCGGAGCCAGCTGGCCAGATGAGAGATGAAAAATTGCAGGCTGTTGTGGCGCGAAGCACATTTGCAGGTGAAAAAGCTAAAAACACCTCATGTTCAGAGCACTTTTGGAAGTTGCGATGTCGAAAAAGTGCACGCCGCTGTGGCGCGAAGCACATTTCGAAGTGAACATGTACAAAACGCCTCATGTTCGGACCACTTTTGGAAGTTGAGATGTCGAAAAAGTGCACGCCGTTGTGGCGCGAAGCACATTTCCACGTCAAAAGGGGAAAAATGAGGGGTACGGAGCACTTTTGGACGTTCAGATGTCGTTTTGCGTGGAAGGTGCAAGGGATTGTGCACCTTGTCAAAAGTGAGCAAAACGTGGGGGTTTTGTGGCATTTCAAAAAAACGATTGCAGGCGTGGGACATTTGAAGAGGATCTGCAAAGATGGGTTTTCCGTGGCAGGCGCAGTACAAGAGACATGTTCATCAGAGATGTTAGGAGGTGAGGGCGCTGATTTCCTGAGAGGAGTTGCATTTTGGAGCATCTTCAGTTTTGGGAAGATGATTTTGCGTGACTTGTGCAGCACTTCGTATGACCTGGCATCACTTTTTCGTGGCAGGCGCAGTACTTTAGACAGGTGGAGTGGAAAAAATGCAAAACGCAATGGCACGAGGCCGCCAGCTCTGCACTCAACTTTCCAGTTTTGAAGGAAGCCTCGCAGAATTGCTTCGTTTTGGATGGTGTCAAGTTCCAAAATTGTGAGGAAGTCTCGCAGAATTGCTTCGTTTTTAGATAGATAGATAGATAGATAGATAGATAGATAGATTAGATAGATTAGATAGATTAGATAGATTAGATAGATTAGATAGATTAGATAGATTAGATAGATTAGATAGATTAGATAGATTAGATAGATTAGATAGATTAGATAGATTAGAGAAGATTAGATAGATTTAGATTAGATTAGGATAGATTAGATAGATTAGATAGATTAGATAGATTAGATAGATTAGATAGATTAGATAGATTAGATAGATTAGATAGATTAGATAGATTAGATAGATTAGATAGATTAGATAGATTAGATAGATAGATAGGATAGATTAGATAGAATAGATAGATAGATAGAGATAGATTAGATAGATTAGATAGATTAGATAGATTAGATAGATTAGATAGATTAGATAGATTAGATAGATTAGATAGATTAGATAGATTAGATAGATTAGATAGATTAGATAGATTAGATAGATTAGATAGATTAGATAGATTAGATAGATTAGATAGATTAGATAGATTAGATAGATTAGATAGATTAGATAGATTAGATAGATTAGATAGATTAGATAGACTAGATAGACTAGATAGACTAGATAGACTAGATAGACTAGATAGATTAGATAGATTCGATAGACTAGATAGCTTAGATAGATAGGTAGGTAGATAGATAGATAGAGAGATAGACAGACAATTACAACAACAACTACAACTACCACTACACTACACTACACTACACTAATTACACTGCAACACGCTACAACTACAAATGCAACTACAGCTACAACCACACTACATTACACAACACTACGCTACACTGATTACATTGCATTACGCTACAAATACAACTGCAGCTGCAACTGCAACTACAACTACCAGTACATTACACTACACTACACTACGCTACACTAATTACACTGCACTACACTACAACTACAACTACACTACCTTACACTAGACTACACTACACTATACCGCACTATACTACACAACACTACACGACATTACACTGCACTACACTACACTAATTACACCACACCACGACTACAACTGCAACTGCACTTGCAAATACATTAACTACATGACATTACAACTACAGCTCCACTACACTACACTACAACTACAGCTACAACTGCAACTACAACTACAACTGCACTACACCACACTGACCCCTGCAACCATTGCAACCATTCCAAAAAACACAACTCCAACCACCTGTCGGTCCATCACTGGATTCGCTCTGCCATCCGTGATTCACAACAACCAACCCTTCCTGTAGGTTTCCTATGTTTGAAACTTCCGCCACCGACTTGTGCGGTACTACTGGTATAACAATATAAAATAACATAATATTACAAAATAAAAAATAATATAATATCATATCATATAATAGGTTAATTTCATATAAGATAATAATATAATTTCATGTTATTACACTATATTATATTATATCATAACATATTAAATTTTAATATATTATATATTATATATATATAGCAAAATATATTTACATTTAAATAAATTCTTTGTTTTGTTATTTGTTTATCATTATATGTGAACTGATCGAAATCACCTACTCGTAGTCTTCAGGTATCAATTCCAAACGCAAATCCCCCAGAGGATTCCTTTCAAGAGATCACGTTGGGCAGCGACACCTTTCTGATGCTCCAGCCAAGGGAAGTTCCTGGGATTTAAAAGCGGAGAGGTGGACGATACATGGGATGTGCCATTGAAGATACATCGCTTGATGTTGATGGGTGAATTTGTTTGGGCGTTATATCAACTGATCCAACTGGGGATTATGAGAAGCCACAATAGTTTTTCCTTAGATTTACCAACTAGCTAGTATACAGGGATGCGATAGAGGTGTTTTTCATGGCTCACATGGAAAAACCGTAGTACAAGTAGGGATATATAATGGGGATGATGATGTTGTTCATATTGCTACTGTCGAAAATAGACGGATTGTTTCTATATTGTGATCATACTACTGTATTCGGGATTTCTGTAGAGCTGTGGTGTTAATTTGGATGCTTTGGATATTTTGGGTACAGTAGTTGAGAAATACAAAAGTTAATGCCATGACGTGCCATGAAGAAACAAATTAATACATATATAAATATAGATATATATGCATATATATATGTATATATATATATATATTCATATCTGGCACCAGTGGAGACATCACCAGGAAGCGAAAGATGTGGAAGCTTGGGAGGACCATTCGCAGGTGACCAACGTCTCTGGGATCTACAGGACCTACTTGGATAGATGGATTGGATAGATGGATTGGATGAGGTAAACTTATTAGGTGAGACTTGAGTGTATTAGATCAGATCAGATTGATAGATATGTAAATTGAAATCGATACATGGATAAGATATTTTCGACTAGCATGAACACTGAACGTCCGAAGACTAAAGCCGCTTTCAGCTCACAGCACAGACCAGTAGCTGTGTTGCACAAAGCGGATGATTTACAATCAAATCATTTTTCAATTTGGAATGGGTGCTTACCATTGCTTACTTATATGGACAGAGTCCCCAACAGAGTTCAAGTTGTATAATCACCAGTGAGTTCCTTGTAGTGCAGACTCGCAACCATCATTGGGATTTTGGGAACTCGTGATGGGTAAGGGCATTTATGCAAACCTTCAGTCAATTTCTTTTGACGTGTTCATGGTTTGGGGAATTTTGGAATCCCGCATCAACCGCTTCCCTTGTTCACCGTGTTAGTCGAATGAACCAAACCATGGAGAACTTGTGGATGGACCTTGGAAGTTCACTTTAATCCACATTTTGGTCCGGCGCTTACAACGACTGTTTTCGCTCACTACACTGCAAGCAGTGTGAGCGATGAACATGCGATGGATCCGATGTCGGTAGAGGCAGACCAAATTCACAGCTGACCATGAAAAATCTGCGACCTGATTGTTTTTGAGCGAAGTGACAACACATTCCGATTGGTGTGTAAAGGAATGTGAGTCCGCAACACCCTGACACGGAAAGCGGATAGATCATGATAGATCTTACATGAGGCAGCCGGTTGGTACGCTTGAACATCAACACATTCAGCATACAGGTCGAACCATTGGGAGGATCAGTATCCCGGCGAACTTTTTCGTTGCAGATGATCCGAAATCAGATGACACTGACTCCCACAACAATTGAAGTCCAACTGGATTTTCGTGCTCAGATTTGTTCTTTGCATCAAGATGTGTCCTCTAATTCAACTGGATTTTTCTGCGCAGATTTGGCACTGGGATGATAAAGAAAGTGCTCAGATTCAACCAATCAAAGTTCGACAATACCTGGAAAGTTCTGGGGTGATTGTTGAACCAAGAACTTCCCTCCTGCCGCTAGTACCGTATCAGCTGGGCGATAGAGGACCAGTGAAGGAAGGCTGTCACCTTGAAACAGTGGAATCGGTATTAATTGATCGGCTTGCCCAAATTCCACAGGAACAAATGGGACTTAACCAACAAAAAGTGAAGCTTCAACCAAGAAAATGGGAGAGAGCAACCCATGACCAGTGGAGATTCAAACAATAATCAAGAACATGCAAAAAGTGGATTGATATAATCCATACAAGCGGCAAACGTGAAAAATCAACAGCAAAAATGGCGGCAAGACACACAACCAACAAAACAAGGGGTGATAAACCCACCATCTGAAGGTCCAATCCGGGATCTACCTGTAACTACGAAAAACCAATGGTTGAGGTATGTGTTGCCCAGTTGGATCGCACAGAAACCGCACCCCCATAAACTATCGATGTATTATGTATCACCATGGTTAACCTACAAATCAACTTGTATAGCTGTCCACCTATCTATGGGGCACCACTGTGCAGAGGATTCGATGCTTCACCGAATCTGGGATCTAACCACGGGAAACCAATGGTTGAGGTACATGGTGCCTGAAAAGTCTGAGGGTCAAAAGACACTTGGCACAATCTTATGGCCAAGGATTTGTTGAAACTGAAACCTGTGAAAAAATACACGTCAAAAGTTGTGAAATCCCTGAGCGATGTTTGGTGTTGGATACTTATGAGCAGATGCAGCAGAGGCCCAATTAGTTTGAGCGCCCTGTCCGTGATGAAATCTGATCTTCATGGTTGATAAGTTGATAAGTTGATAGGAAAACATGCTGACTTGATCTCTTGTGTCATACATTCCTAGATCTTGGAATGCAGGTCCAAAGCCGAACGCAAAACGCCACGAGCTCCAGAAACATCCAGGGATGCTTGCTTGTGATAAGAGTCTCTGGAGCCTTTTCCAATCTCGTGGCTGTCCCAACGCCAAGTGTTAGGACATGTTAGGACTTCACTGCTGTAGGTGTAAGGACTTGAGCTGAAAAAGCGGAGATGCACTGAGACACAGTATCACCGTATCAGCGTATCACCTGTAAGAAAGGTATTGCAACGGATAGATAACATTTGCGTAACATGGATGACAGATCAATATGATCAATGCATATTTTGCGCTGGCTTAGGTCCAGATCAGTGTAAATCACACCAAAAAGCGTGCAGGCAGTGTATAGGATGGAAGTATCGTATGCGCATGGCTGAGAACACACTGCTTGTTGTCGGATGCCCCATCCATTTCATTAGGTTTCATGTTACGCACTGACAATATCTGTTGGAGTCAGTGTCCCTATGATCCCTACTTGAGTTCCGTCAACAACCCGGGGTTTGCATTTATGCAGGCATTTGAGACATTCCTGTCCCCACCACTTTTTTAGTCTTCATCTTAAGAAGCTGCCCTGCAACTAACTGCCGCTGTTTAAGTGCTTGCTTTTTCAATTTTGATTGGCCCCGCGCAGTGAACGATAATAGAAACCGTCTATGTAGATATACTTTTCGATAACCCTTTTCTGATAGAACGATGACAAAAACCTTCTACCCAAGATATGCTGTCAATTAAGTCTGCGCATGGAGGGACGGTCGGAAACCTTCCACTCAGATATTTCTTTTGTTGACCCTGCCATTGAAAGGTAGCAGAAACCTTCTGCTCGGAGATGGTTTTGTTTGATCCCTTTAGTTGAATGCCTGCGCTCGCAGCAAAACCGCAATTGTGGAAATCATTCCCGGCTAGCCTGTAGTCATATGGAGCCAGCCACACAAAGCAAGGGAAAGTTTCTCTTTGATAGGTGCAGTTTCTGTTTCTTGGTCGTTGCCCCCAACAACAACAACCGGAACGATAACTGAACGATAACCAAAAATGCAAATCTAGGGTTAGGTTTCACATCTTGAATTTTGCGAATGGACATTCCACATAGAAGGTGGCTGCGATGCGCGGATGTGAAAAGCAGGTTGAGTAATCCTGAGATGCTTTTCACTCTGTAACTCCCATACGCAGGTGCAAGAGCAAAGTGCCTGTGAGACAAAAGACATATTGTCATTGCGATGCGCCCGCCATATGAGCACGCAGCTTCCACAGCCCCTGAGGAGCTTCCACAGCGCAAGTGCAACGCAAGGGTGCAAAACCCTTACCAAGACAGATGCTATAGAACGATCGGCAAAAAAGCAGCACAGAACCCTGAAATAACTCCACCCGAATGCGGCCACTCTTTCGCAGATGCTGAATATTTCCATGGCGTTTCCAGATGTTCCGTACCTATTTCTGAACCTCAAGTTTTTTTTGCTTAAATCCAATATCGGACACGGTCGATAACCCACTAAATACCATATCAATTTCCAGGAAGCCGTCCCGCACCAGAATTTCATGATCCAAACATGAGTATTCCAAATTTTAATTATTTTACATCCATCACCTGGTGCCTGTTCTCAGACAATCTCATGAACACTTGCGCTGAAGGAATTGTCGGCCGCACTGTCGGGAAACAAAGGTGTGGTCTGACGAGGGTTCAAATCGCGCAGATCATGCAAACATTTGCAAACTTCACAAATGTTGTGCTTTTGTAAACTCAGAATCTGTGATTTGGTTTCCGCACTTGACATGAAAAGATTGAAAAAGGTTCAGGTATCTGTTGCCTTGAAGGAGTTCGAGGCTGTTGACTTCGTAACGCGTGCGATTGCAGATGTTTTCTTTGACGCGTCCGCAGTGCAAACTTGAAGCGACCTGTCGTTTGACCCAGCCTCTTCCATCACAGATGTTGATTCCGTTTGCGCCCTTTCACAGATGTCTTGGTTTTCGAAAAAATACCAGCAATTTGCCAGTGTATGATGTTTATCCTTGCGATTCTGTATGAGTACTCTCAAAGCAATGTCAAGCAATGTCAAGCAATGTCAAGCAATGTCAAGCAGCGAAACAAGCCGGGGTCACTTTGTGAGTTCAGACAGAGAGTGGTGTTGAAGATTTGGCTACGCCCAAAATGCTTGAAGATTTTTCACCTTGTGACAGAGTGACAACGCCAAGATTACCCAAGATTCCGGATTTAAAGCAGCAGATGGTACCAGATCATAAAGCTGCAATATGCTGCAATTGGTCTTGTGGGGCATGTAGATTGCTTCGATGGTTTACTATAAGAAAGAGTTGGACTGGCCAGACGTTAATCTCTGAGAATATGTGGCCTGTGAAGCAGGTCATCCTGCTGGCTGAATGCACGAAGCATTTAGCAGTATGTTTGAAGAGTATGTTCATGCATATTTCACATTCAGTTCTTCGCTGAAAACTAGGACGAGCAGCTTTGGACGCTGAAGCAGTACGGCGCCAGTTTTTTTTAACGAGCCGAAGCACAACCAAAAAATGGTAGAGCTGAAGATTCACTGTGGTGAAGATTTTGAATATATTGCGCCATGATTGACTCAGAATAGTGTGCTTCCATTTTAGATCTCTCCGTTCCCCATCCTTTTGGTGCCTTTTGCTCCCTTCCTGTGGTCAGAATGAAAAGCATTGCAGGTAAATCAGTGGAGCAAGACCAAAAGTCCAGCTGCTTTCCAGATGTCGACTTTGACAATCAAAAATTGGAACAGTTGCTTGAAACTTTGGCCCGCTGTCAATAACTTCATAGCAGAGCCCAGAAAGCTTCTTGACGCGATCTACAGTGAGACCAGGAATTGAACAAGTCGACCTCTGAATCCAAAGTTGCAAAAAAAAGTGTCACAGTGTTAAGTTGCTGTATTTCTCGGTAATTCCAGCAAATGTGGGCCACTTTTAAACATTTATGCCACAGTGGCAAGTTTTGAGGTTCTCCATGCACTCACAGAACTTTGGGTTGAAAAAAGACTGCCATTCAGCACAAAAGAATGGGGGCAAACGAGCTGCTCTTCACGTCATATTCCTAACATAGAGC